TCCCTTCTTTCTTCTTTTTCAGCCTCTTGCATGTGCCCCACATTTGCTTTTCTCATCTGATGATGCCCCTTCCTTTCTGTTCTCTCCGAATAGCCCATCCATGCATCTACAACCTGTCATCTTCGCATTTATTCCACAGCTCGTATATTCATTGATTTTGCATTTGTATTCAGCTGGGGCTGATCCAATGTGCTTCTCTTTCAGCCTACATGAAACGGCGACACAGCTCTGTTAGCGACAGTCAGTCTTGTGAGTCCTCATCCGCTGGAATAGACTACAGCCAGGGAGCCAGCCCGCAGCCGCAGCATCAGCTGAAGAAGCCCCGGGTGGTGCTGGCACCGGAAGAGAAGGAAGCTCTGAAACGAGCCTACCAGCAAAAGCCATACCCATCACCAAAAACCATTGAGGAACTCGCTACGCAGCTCAACTTGAAAACCAGCACCGTGATCAACTGGTTCCACAATTACAGGTATGAGATCTCCCGGGAGCCCTACTCATAGAGGTTTTATTTTATTTGCTTTGGCAAGGTGCTGCTCTGCTTCAGCAGGCTGCGTCTGCTTCCGCTAGCATTGAGCGGTTGTACGAAATGAACAGTTTCGACAGCAGGGAGGTTCTAACTAACAGTAATGCTAATGCTCCAGACTAATTTTAAGTCATCCCTGAGGAACAGCAATATTCACATATTGATGTAAGTAGTGCTTTTAAATGGAAAGTCTTGCTTTTGGAGTGGGCGTTGATACAGAGATGTCCACTAATGAATATTTATAAATCCCATTGCAGTAAGCAAGACTGGTCTGTCTTACTTACGTATGCATGCTCACGCAGACGTATACTCACATGTATATGCACACCTATAGGTGTGTGATGTGTGTGTTATGCCTGGGTCATTTGGTGGGGGGAGCCTTGGAAGTGTCCTCTGCTGGATAGCATCAGAATTGCACTGCTTCCATCATATTTTTCCCACATAAGAGCAAAAAGAGTATTTATTTTAGATCTTGAGTCACTGAGCTCTGAAAGTAGGCATGGTGTGTGCTGTATTTCTGGGAAGCTCCGCACAGTCGTGAAGGACAGAGAACCGATAACCCTGAAGTCAAATGTGGCCACAGATTTGTTTCAGTGTTATGAGTAAATCATTGAGTCCCGCTGAAATGAAGTAAGATGTCGTTGGTCTGTTTAGTTCCTTTCTCATAGTAGAAGGAACCTTCTCCACATTTGAAACGCTGAAGTAGGTTCTGGCCTAGAGACACTGATAAAAAGAAACAATGCTGGAATGACATATAAGAATTATAAGGATTTGAATAAACTTATTATCAGCTGTGCTTGGGATTGGGAATCTTAATTAGTGCAGCAGACTTTTCTCCAAGAAATTTGTGCTAATGAATATTGAGCAGGTACAGTTAAGATAGCAGATTTAATACTATTCTGCCCCTTCAGTCAGAACCAGTAATGTTTCTAATTAGTCCAGATTGCTAAACTTGTTTGTTTTTAGAAACTGCTAACATTTAAAGGGTGTTTTCCACTTTGGCCCTTTTTGGCTTTTAACGGGGAAACTGCTGAAGCAGAAGCAGAAGCAGCACAGTTTAATGACATAGCTCAGAAATATTACCCACAATATTAAAATAATGTTTATAGTAAACAATATAAAATTTTAAAATTATAACCAACGAGTAATCATATTGACACTGAATTTCATTGACTTGAATTCACTACAGATGCAGCCTCTTTCACTGCTCAGAGTTCTCCAAATGCAGGCCTCTCTTCCAATTCCCACTTCTAGGCAATTATACACAAGTTGGAGGAATGCCTATGAAAATATGTTCCCTTCGGCCTGACAGCAAAATGTGCTGTTCTCACTTACGCAGATGAGTGCGGGAGCACTGGTGGCATGTGTCATCTTCCTCATTATCATGAGAACTCCTGTTCAGGCGTGCTGCGAGAAAGCGTGACAAGTCATGATTGATCAGTGTGTTTAGCCACACCAAGCTATACACGAATGTAGACTAGGTGCTGACAGTTGTATACAAAATAAAAAATGTATAAACAAGGTGCTATAGGCTGGTGGATAGCACAAGCCTGACGGCACTGAGCGATCTGGACCTGCTCCCAGATGTGCTGCTGAGTCTCCAGGACTTTAAAGAGATCTTTCAAGCCTGTTTGGAGCCCGGGGTGCTCTGAGTGGTTGCCACCACTGAAAAATCAAAACACATGCCTGTTCTTTTCCTCTGTACAGTAACTTTCTTAGCTTTCATGCATGAAGTACTCTCCAATCATTTGCAGGACATTGCAGAAGAGGCACAAGCTACATGTTCTGCTGGGGAACAGGATCTGACTGTTCTGCAGCTCATGTATTTTAGGAAGTGGGTAGTCTTTCCCCTCTTCATCTTCTCCAGGCCACACTTACCTTTATCTCTTTTATAATTTGAGGGCAGCCATTTCTTTTTCCAAACTGAAGAGTCTTCATGCAGAAGCAGTTCTGCACCTCAGACCATACAAATTTTTCTTTAAAGTAACTTCAGGTGAGGCAGGGTACAGATTTGGACAAGTTTGTCTTCCTGTCTCTTGGGAATCTTGTTGCAATGATGCTTTTCCTTTGGGATTCAGCCCAAGCCTCACTTCCCAAAGGTGGTTGCTACAGCAGAGGTGGATGCTACCTTTATATCCACCAAATGGGAAGTCAGCACTAACTTTTCTGCAGCAAAAGAAATTTAAAAAAAAAATCCTCAGCAGGCAAAGTAGTAATTCATTTCATAATATAAATAGGTGTAAAGGTTTTTGGCATGTCTGAAGACTTCTCCAAGTCTATGGCTTTGCATTAGTGAAGCACATACTCAGGACCCTTCAGAGTTTGAGAGTCTGTTGTCTTAAGAACTGTACAAAAGAGTAGGAGATGGGGATTTCTATCCCACTTCACATGTGGAAACCAGTACAGAAACTCAGTAAGATTGTAGATGTGATACTACGGAAGCATCAGGAATGAAACCAAACTTTCTTGAATTGTAATCTAGTGCTGTTGGATCCTAAACTCCGTTGCTCTTACTGTGGGCATAGTTTTTCAATGAACTGTAGCATTATGCTTGTTTAGATGAGTTCCTGGAGTTCTGTGAAGGCTTATACGGGGAACTTCAACATATACCCCAGGAGATCTCTGATATTTTGAGTTACGCTGATGAATGCCAACCGGATGTGTTGATGTCAAGGCCAACACCTTCCACTGAGAGGAATGCTCTCTGGCATTTCCTAGCTGCTGTCACCAGTTCTTCTTCACCGTAGGGATTTAATTACTATGTTAATCAGGAGCCAGACTAGATTCCAGAAGCAATATATTGGGTGTGAATTCCAGGGATTTCCACAGATGTAGAACCTCTATTCTGTAGGGCTGTGGTTGGATACTCAGTGAGTATGTCATCATTCAGTATCTTGTTGGAGCTGAGGTATTTTAAATGCCATGCAGGCACAAAGCTCCTACCCGTTTCCTCTCCTGACCTGGGGAATGTTACACAAGTAGCATGTTCTGGATCAATGTCCACGGAGGGAGATTATAGGCATAAATACAGCCTGATAATCAATGTTGCGGGATGCGTGCAATTAATGGTAATAGAAAATTAATGTTAGCACCTGTGGTCTTCTGTTAGGTGAATAATATTCTCCTAGGGAAAATTACAGACCCCCTAAATCCTTCAAAAATGTAGAGTCAGCAAGTACTGCTGAAATACTCTGTTGCATTTCAAGTAAGTCAATAATATCATTAGCTTCAAAAGCAGTATTCGGATGGTGTTCTGCATTTATCCCAGGTTTTTTCCATTGTGTGCTGTCTTCTGTAGCACACTTAGGGAAAAAAGAAAAATTTGTACAGCCATCAGTATTGGGGCAGCATTTCACTTGTGATTCGCAAGACCTTTAGCAGCTCTCTTTGCATAGAACCAAAAGTGTTATCTTTGCCTAGAACCAAAAGTGTTATCTTCACTTGGAAGGACGAAGTTTTGCTAAACTCTCCCTGTGTCCATAGTCTCGTCCCTAATGAGAGGTCATTGATGCTCCCTCTTGGTTGCAGATTAGGACCTGAACAGTGGTCATACCCTCTCCTGCTGGCAGAGAAAGAGTTGCCCTACACCCTAAGAGTTTTTCATAAACTGTTCTGTACTTGTGAGGATATCGGGACCTCCTAAACAGAATGAGGTGGGAGGAAGGGCCAGGTTAAATGGCAAAGGCGGGGTTTGGGGTATTATTGCATGCTTCGAGTAACAGGAGGCACAAGGTGGCACACCAGGCCATTTTAACCACACATGGAGTGTGTTAATTCCCTTGAAATGCGCTGCTTGCCTTGTCACTATTCATGTTCTGAAATCGATTTTTTAAATAAAAAATGAGGCAGAAGTCAGAGTAGCTCATAGACTGGCAACCTGTCAAAAGGCTGCGCTTCCCCAGAGTGGTTTCAGAACAACGGACTTTGGTTCATCTTTATTTCTCCTTGGTGTCCAGGTTACCAAGGGGGTTGTCCAGACTTTTTCCTTGGATTTTTTTTTTCTTTAGGTAAATTGTGGCTCATTTCTAGTAGAAATCTGAATTGGCTTGTATTTGCAAGCCATTTTTCTTCTGGATCTACTAGAAATGTATTCATATTTTTTAAATCATCCGCTTTCTGGTCCAGCGTATTGTAAAGTTTCACCTTCCTGATGGCAGGTCTCCCTGCCATCCTCCCTGCCCTCCTCCAGTGGGAATGGGAGACTGCAGAGCCTTTCATCTCTGTCCCTTAAACCACATCCAGCTCTGTAAAAATTGAGCATACAATTATGAATGTTAATTTAAACTTGAAAAAGAAAAGGGAAGATGATCTGTCACTGGCTTTCACCAATCATTTTAGTACAAATTGTTTATCTGCGTAATGTTTATATTTTTGATTTATTCCAAAATGCCTGCTGTGGTTACTAGAAGGGGCAGTCATCAACCTCAGGTTTACAGTAAATACACAAAATCCTGCCTGAAGTCAGAGGGGTCGGTCTCAACACTGAGCACTGCGGCAGTTTACCAGAAATGGTTTATCTGCTCCCGATCCCGCTGCGGCTGCCTGCCCTCCCACCGTGCCACAGAGGAGCCCTGGGGCAGTCTGGGGTTTGCAGCCCGCATCCCTTCGAGTGCAGCAGGCTCCGCAGAGGGCATGTGGCTGGGGAAAATGAAATTAAGAGCATCTCTACAGTATTTCATGTTCTTCTAAACGCCTTTTCAGTCCTTTGGGTTTGAGGGTGTGAATGCTTCCACCAACCCGGCTTGGTGCGGCTGTCCCGTAGCCAAGGCAAAATGGCGTGCTGTGAAAGGGCGCTGTGGGTGGCGTGTCTGGTAGAGCAGGGCAGCTCCGAGCGACCCCCGGCAGACTCACCATCCCTCTCCCCTGTCTCCTAGGTCTCGCATCCGCCGGGAGCTGTTCATTGAGGAGATCCAAGCCGGGAGCCAGAGCCAGGCTGGGTCGAGCGACTCTCCTTCCGCCAGAAGCAGCAGGGCCGCTCACAGCTCCGAGGGAGACAGCTGCGACGGGGTGGACGCGGAAGGCCCACCTGAAGGAAAGCCGAGTGGCCCGGAGGCGGATGAGTACAGCAATGCAACCACAAAGTCTCAGGGAGGGCCAGCGGAGTCGGCTTTCGAAGCAGGGGAAGAGGCACTGCAAGGCGCCAGGTCTTCGGAGAAAGCGGAGCCGTTCCAGGCGGAGAGCCTGGAGGACACCGACGACGAGGGCAGGCTCAGAGCACCGCGCCAGAGCTCTCCGCCGGCATCGCAGCGCCCGGGAGAAGCTCTGGAGACACTGCCAAACTCTGCCACGGAAGGGGATGCCTCTACCTCAGCTGCCTCCACCTCAGTCCTTACAGGGGAGAGCTCCTACAAGTCAAAAGAAAGTTCAGAGAAAATCTCCAGTGTGCCAAGTACGAGCTCGACGCCGGCCGCAGGCTCACAGAAAGCCAACTCTCTTCAGAGCTTGTTCGGCTTCTCCGAGGCGGCGAGCTCCAGGAACACGCGAGACAGCTCCTTGAGGAAAAAGAAAGCGGCAAACTTGAACAACATCATCCACCGCTTGGAGAAGGCCGCGAGTCGAGAAGAGGCCGTCGAGTGGGAGTTTTGAGATTAAACTCGCCCAACTCTGGAGAGCTGGGAAGTGAAACTGGACCTCTACTGGTTTTATTGTGTTGCGCACTTAACCGCCCTGCGGGCCACAGGGCAAAAACGCCATAGGCCAAGGTGCATATAGAAAACAAAAAGGAGCGTTAAGCCCAATTTATGTTTGTGTTTTCGAGGAAGAAAACTGAAATGTGTAGTCAAGCTTTTTTGTACCCTGAAGTGTTTTTATTATTGCCCTAAGTGATTTCCACAATTTCTGGAATAACTCATACAGCTTTGCCTTGTGCCCTCCTCTTTGGTGTGGGCTTTAAAAAAAGAAAAACAGAAAAAAAAGAAAAAAAAAATCAAACCCACATATTAAAAGGGGGCTTTTTATCTGCCATCTAATGGCTACAGAGCGATAATACACTATTATCTTCTTAAACCAGGAAAAAAGGGGAGATTTTTCAAAAAAAAAAGAAAAAAAAAAGAAAGTTTTTTGTAGCTGTTCAGTTGCCACTAAGAGATTGCACAGTCAACCGACTCTAAACACACTAGTTTGGATTCCTACATATTTTCAAGAAAAGAAAAGAATCTTGTTGTTTGAAACTTTGAATTAAAAAAAAAAAACACATTTACTCCACATATTTTTTAACAAAACAAAAAAAAAAAGTCACATCAGGAGAATATCTTAATTTGTGGTAGCTGACTTAGTGTTTTCTTGTAAGTGAAATAGAATATTGACACGTAGTGCACATTGTTTCATAGCTTTAACTGATTCTGGTCTTTTGCAGACCAGAATTTGTTTAATACACTCCATTTTAGGCCAAATCAGGACAAAAAAAAATCTGAATCTAGGTATTTTATAATCTGCTTTTTAACCTCTAACCACAGAGCACGCTGATCAGACCTCATATCTAGGAGGTTTAGGAGACAACTTAGAAACAGCATGTACTTGATCATTTCACTTGGTTCGTAGTGTACAGAATTTCCTTTCAGTAAAGACAGATCGCTCAAAAAATGTTGGCCAGTAACATTTCAGCCTGCTACTTCAGAGACGTATTCCGAAACCCAAAATATTCAGCTTTCCTGGCATCGGTTATAGTGTAGTTCACGTGTACGATTGCTGTCACGCACCACTAAGAGGGGACTGGAGCTGCCTCAGATAGAGAACTTTTCCTGCTGTTGGTGGCCATTTACTGACTCTCTTCCCACCGCAAGCACTGATTTTAAATACGTTTTAGTTGTGGGAAGCTTATTTTTGCGTGGAAAAAAAAAAAAAAGAGTACATGGCAATGACCAGACGGGCTCTTACCGGGATGGAAATAGCCCAAACTGCAAACCAAAACATTCATGCTCTCGAGTCCCAGTCCAGACCATTCTGCCCTGCAGAAATACAGCCTTTTTCCATTATTTTATGCACAGGTTAGGGCTGATCAAAGTACAAATCAAATTCTAACTTGTCTCTAACTCCTCCTGTTGTCTATATGTATATGCGTGAGCATAGAGGTGCGTGGAAGGATGTGTGTGTGTGAGTGTGTGCGTGCAATTTTATACGTCTGTGTATTTTCTTACGTACTTGTGCACACATAGAGTGCATTACTGCCACCTTTTTTCAATAAGCTGTTTTATCAGTTATGGCTTCTACAAGTTTGCTAATTTAGACTCCTTTATTGCCATATCTTTAAAACTAACAATAGATGATTTCGGAATATATATATATATAAATATATATATATATATAATTTTTTTTTGCTTATTTATAGGTGCTGTATTTTATTATCTGATTGTTAGGAAGGGATGAAAGGGGGCAAATATTCTTTAGAGGGATAGACTGCCGGCAGTATTGGGTATAATTTACAAGATGTAGTTGTCATACTGTATATTATTGATTGAAGACTTTTTGACCGTATTGTGTATCATTGAACTTTTGTCTTAGGTCAGCATCTTTTTGATGACACTTTAATGGTGCATTCATTACTTCTTAAGTTTAATTAATATTACTTTTCTGATTTTGGGGGAGGGAGGGATGGGGAGAGGAGTTCCGACTTTAAAGGTATGTTCCCAATATTACACCTCAGTGTGCTTGTATTAATTCATTAGTAGGATTTTTGACTGTAAGATGTGAAACCACATTTCTTGCATGATGTTTTAGAACTTATGTATTTCATGCCACTAAGAGATTGCACAGTCAACCGACTCTAAACACACTAGTTTGGATTCCTACATATTTTCAAGAAAAGAAAAGAATCTTGTTGTTTGAAACTTTGAATTAAAAAAAAAAAACACATTTACTCCACATATTTTTTAACAAAACAAAAAAAAAAAGTCACATCAGGAGAATATCTTAATTTGTGGTAGCTGACTTAGTGTTTTCTTGTAAGTGAAATAGAATATTGACACGTAGTGCACATTGTTTCATAGCTTTAACTGATTCTGGTCTTTTGCAGACCAGAATTTGTTTAATACACTCCATTTTAGGCCAAATCAGGACAAAAAAAAATCTGAATCTAGGTATTTTATAATCTGCTTTTTAACCTCTAACCACAGAGCACGCTGATCAGACCTCATATCTAGGAGGTTTAGGAGACAACTTAGAAACAGCATGTACTTGATCATTTCACTTGGTTCGTAGTGTACAGAATTTCCTTTCAGTAAAGACAGATCGCTCAAAAAATGTTGGCCAGTAACATTTCAGCCTGCTACTTCAGAGACGTATTCCGAAACCCAAAATATTCAGCTTTCCTGGCATCGGTTATAGTGTAGTTCACGTGTACGATTGCTGTCACGCACCACTAAGAGGGGACTGGAGCTGCCTCAGATAGAGAACTTTTCCTGCTGTTGGTGGCCATTTACTGACTCTCTTCCCACCGCAAGCACTGATTTTAAATACGTTTTAGTTGTGGGAAGCTTATTTTTGCGTGGAAAAAAAAAAAAAAGAGTACATGGCAATGACCAGACGGGCTCTTACCGGGATGGAAATAGCCCAAACTGCAAACCAAAACATTCATGCTCTCGAGTCCCAGTCCAGACCATTCTGCCCTGCAGAAATACAGCCTTTTTCCATTATTTTATGCACAGGTTAGGGCTGATCAAAGTACAAATCAAATTCTAACTTGTCTCTAACTCCTCCTGTTGTCTATATGTATATGCGTGAGCATAGAGGTGCGTGGAAGGATGTGTGTGTGTGAGTGTGTGCGTGCAATTTTATACGTCTGTGTATTTTCTTACGTACTTGTGCACACATAGAGTGCATTACTGCCACCTTTTTTCAATAAGCTGTTTTATCAGTTATGGCTTCTACAAGTTTGCTAATTTAGACTCCTTTATTGCCATATCTTTAAAACTAACAATAGATGATTTCGGAATATATATATATAAATATATATATATATATAATTTTTTTTTGCTTATTTATAGGTGTTTTATTTTATTATCTGATTGTTAGGAAGGGATGAAAGGGGGCAAATATTCTTTAGAGGGATAGACTGCCGGCAGTATTGGGTATAATTTACAAGATGTAGTTGTCATACTGTATATTATTGATTGAAGACTTTTTGACCGTATTGTGTATCATTGAACTTTTGTCTTAGGTCAGCATCTTTTTGATGACACTTTAATGGTGCATTCATTACTTCTTAAGTTTAATTAATATTACTTTTCTGATTTTGGGGGAGGGAGGGATGGGGAGAGGAGTTCCGACTTTAAAGGTATGTTCCCAATATTACACCTCAGTGTGCTTGTATTAATTCATTAGTAGGATTTTTGACTGTAAGATGTGAAACCACATTTCTTGCATGATGTTTTAGAACTTATGTATTTCATTTACAGTCTCTTAACATGCAACAGCAGCACTTAGCGCAAGTTTTCACAAATTAAGAATCAGTACACTAAAATCAATCCTGTTCATGATTAAGAAAAGAAGGCTCTAGGAGGCTGAAAGGCAGGGATTTATTTCCTATTTTTACTGCTAGCTGTTTCAGGATACCTCCTTGGGTAATTGGGGACTTGTGATGCGAAACTAAAATTGAGAAACGGAGAGAGCAACTGCCCCTTTCTGTGATGAGCTGAGGAGACAATTTCTAATAACAGGCACCAGTATGTGACAGCACGTGCTGGAAGCGGTTACGGCTTCTTACCGGGAGTGCAGTTAGTCCGCGGGAACGGCCAGCGAGGGAAATAACGTGGTGAAGCAAAGTGTTACCTCTCTGTATCTGTACAGCGTCCTGGTTTGACTTACAAAGCACAGCTCCATCAATAGATGCAAATCCTGGTAAAAATACGCATACCTTAATGCAAGTCATAACAAGATGTGTCTTCAGCCAAGAAGCAAAGTTTCTGGCTAGAAGACACGGATATTTTCTTACGTCTTTTGGGTTTTTTTTCTTTGTTGTTGTTTGGTTCAGGTTGGGGTTTTTTTTATTAATTCTAGGCAATACACTTGCCAGTCTGTTCCTACTGTCCTTGTCTGCTGATTTGAGATCCAGGTGCTTGATGCAGTCAAGTGGTTACTCTCGGCTTTCTCGATAGTGAGGGTTTTTTTCTGTTCAATGATTATTGTTTTTTAATTGATATTCCCCGAACTGTTCTTGTGCCTGTGTCTATATGATTGCATTCCATGATGCTTACTGAGAGCTCTTGCTGCATTCTACGACAGCAGAACTGTATTCACAGGTTGAACACGAATGCAGCACTTAAGGTCAATCTCTCTTCTTAATAAGCAATACGTAAGTGCCTTGAAACTTATATCTTTTTTCTTTTCCTGTTGATTTTTGTTTTGCTTTTCAGATTTCCACTAGTTTTTAGGATTCTTTAGCGTCTGCCCGGTTTTTAATGCTGTAATGATTTTTAAAAAGCATATCTGTAGCTCGCCCTAGAGGAACTCTTTCTTTTATAACACTAACTGTTAAATCTAAGCTCCATGATTACATTTGAGTCATGTAATTTCGCTGGATAAAGACAGCATTCATAAGTCAGAAGTCACTCCATCCTGCCAAGGGTTGTCATTGGTATCCATTATAAAATTAATCAAATAAAATGCTGTCAGTATTTCCTATATTTTTGGCACTTTATTAATGGCTTAGCCCCTTTTGTTGTTTCATATTTAATGATCTGCGTTGAATGTGGATTAGCCTGCTGAGATGCTGTTGGGGTGACCCGGGCCGTCCTGCCGGGAGTCACTTTGGGTTCCTTAGTGACCACCGTATTTAAGGGCACGGGCAGGCAAACACCCTCGGATCGAGCTCGTAGAGTTTAAGTGATGTTCCCAGCTGTTTGTTCCCCATTTTTTAGCCAAGGTCACAGCTGCTTTTCTGTTTCAGTGGAAAGTAAAATGGATTAGCTTGAACTACTGCTGAGATTCTCTTTTGGAGATGAGTTACCTACTGGCTTTCCATACTGGCAGAGACCTCCCCGGTTTAGAGACTGAACTTCAGCGACACTGAAAGACTTTTGCTGTATTTCTGATCGAGTGCGGCATTTGAAAGTAACGCTTTTAGGAGAACATGTATTGGAATAACTTCTTTTACCTAATTAACAGGATAAAAAGTTGAAGGAGAAGAAATGCCAAAGAGTAGTAGGGTGGCTTTTTACCCCTTGGGTTGCTGGTGACGCGGGAAGGGAAAAGGCGTCCCTTAGGCACGGCGACGTGGGGTCATCTCACGGGGCAGTCATTCGGTAGAGTGCAGAGCGTGGCAACAGAGCCCTCACTGGTGGCATTTCTTTTTCCGATGGATAAATGCACAGGTAGTTTCTGTAATGCCAGAGTCTGTTTTTTCCTGAGGTTCTTTAAAAGCATTTTTATTTTCTCTTTCTGTTTCCAATTCCATGCTTTTACTAGAGCTGGGGATGAAGGGCCCAGGCTATTTTAACAGAAATACCTTTATACTGCAGTTAAAACTGTCGATTTTTCTCTCTGGATGGTTAGGGAAGGAAAAAAGTGTAACGCTATGTTTGCTAAAAGCAAGGGAAGAGTATCCCTTGGCAGAGGGGTCATATGATGTTGTCAGTATGCTTCCATTTTTGAGATACAGATTTCAGACAGCAGAATTGCACGTGCTAATTAGCAGAAATGCATTTAATTACAATTGCTGTTGATGCCAGAAAGTTTGACCATTTTATTTATTCATCTGTAATAGAGGCACTCTGTAAGGGAACCTGTATCAGTGCACTCTGCCCATATTGTGAATTAGTGAGTCCTTTAGTACTAAACTCCTTGCTGTAACAGGAAGGAGCTATCTTACAGTTAAAAAGAAACAAATGTACGTGCCTTCCTCATTAGGTCAAAGATCTTTGCATTATTTTTATGTAACTTGTTCATACGGGAGTGGTGTAGAGAAGGGAGTTCATGAACACGGCAGAATTCTATGCAATACTCTCCGATCCAATTACTTAAAAGTTGCTATTTTTCAATCCTTTAATGGGAGAAATAGTAAGTTAGAGAAGTGCATCATCCTGGTGGTAACTCAAAATACAAGGCTGATAAATTTACATAAAATAGGATTGAGGGAAATCTGACAAAATAATGTAACGAAATAATGGAAAAATGCTAACAGTGATTGCAGTCCCCTCTTCCATCTTAAAATTACTAATTTCAAGTATTTTTAAAACTTAACATGAAATAAAAATGCTCCTGGCAAAAAAGGGCAGGTTAGAAACAGA